GAGGGGGGTTGACAACATCACAGCTGACTCAAGTGGTTCTGTTCTCATTTATTAAGGTTATCCGGGCAAACAACTGCAGATCATAAGTATTTACAAAGTATTTACAGCTAGCTAAGAAACACAGCAGCAATTCATTCATTTTTGTGTGCTCTCTGTGTTCTCTAACTGCTGTCCTGTATGTGCGCTACAACATTGACATTTCCCCGCTGTGGGACGAATAAAGGATGTCTTATCTTATAACAGAAATGTGAATGGTTGAACTGGTAGTCATAACAACGGGGAAAATGTAAAAATACCTACTTTGCCTGCTTATGTACGTTTGTTTTTGTAAGTTTTTTTTTTATTGTTTTGACTTTAATTTATGCAGTGTTCTTTTTGTGTTCTTGGTGAGTGTTGATGCGTCGGTCTGTTTTGTTGTCTTTAATAAATAAAATACCTACTTTTAGCCCCGTTTCAACCAGCCCTACTCTACTCCAATTAGGAGCTTTCCCACTGTCACTATCTTTTTAGTACCTGCTTGGCTCTGGCTCAAGCTACGGTCACCAAGGAATGTCCTGGAATACTGGTTTGTTGTAAGTAGGTTGCTAGGATACAGTACCAGACACTAAAGCGTAATGGAAAAACAATCAGATAGAGTAGAGCCGAGTAGAGACGGGCCAAGTAGGGCTGGTGGAAACGGGGCAATATTTTCCTTCCTATATTATGTGAGAAACTATAGAGATGAATGGAGACTGCTAAATGACTGATGAGTTCTCCTATTGGAAATACAGCAGAGCAGCAGGGAGCTTTGAAAGAAGGAGCTCTCTGGGAGTTCAGAAGGAATGGAAAGGGTTCAGGAAAGTGCGGAACAATGATGGTAGGTGTTCAGAGACTGGTACCATGAGGGGCGGGGCTTGTGCCTGGTCACTGACGCCATCTGTCATGCTGGCGGAGCGGAATCTGTTTGACAACTGGCTCTGTGGGCGAAGACGAAGAGCAGAAAATACATTTTAATAACATTGTTAGCAAGCGACAAGGGGCGACAGTAGCTCAGTTGGTAGAGCATTGGTCTTAAGGCCAGAAGGTCGTGGGTTCAATTCCCACCTCTGCACCTTCTCCATCGACTCCCACTGATGACTGCTGTCGTTGTGTCCTTGGGCAAGACACTTAACCCCACTTTGCCCAAAGCCCCCACTGAAAGATCAAGGCTATGCTCACAGTCAGAGAGCAGCTGTCCTCCTGTGGACTCACCACCTGCAGAGGGTCAGTGAGGGGCTGGTGCTATGAGACTTGGGTGGCATCTCTGACTGCCACCCCCCTGACCCAGAAATGGATTAAAGGGTAGAAAATGGATGGATGGATGGATGTTAGCAAGCCCTGACTATAGACGATAGATACTCATCAATGTATACAGACGTCATGGTGTGGATTCATTGTTATCTCGTAATTGGTTTTATTTTGAGACTAGTTCTGTGTTTTTGTTTTACCTCCTGTCCTGCTCTCACACACACACTCACACCGCACATACACACACACACACACACACCGCACACACACACACACACACTCTGAAATGTACATTCACTCAACACACAAAGCCCCTGATCACCACCATCCGTTCACTCACTCAATACATTCACACCTATTTTACATCCTTTTAGTGGTAGGAAACTGGAGCACCCGGAGGAAACCTACACATACACGAGGAAAACATGGCGCTACTACATCCACTAGTTCTGTGGCAACTCATGGTCAAGTTATAAGGGGAGATACGGTGGCTGAGTGGTTATTACTCTCGCTTCTCAGCAAAAAGGTTGGAATCCCGGGCGGAACAAGGCCCTGAGTGCTGTTTAAATGTTCACCCCGTGTCTGCATAGGTTTCCTCCGGGTGCTCCGGTTTCTCCTACCACTAAAACATGCACAATCGATCTGAATGTAGTGAGTGAATGGATTGTGTTGGTTGAGGCTTTGATGCTGCAGTTCTGTCATCACCGTGTGGAGAGAATGGAACAATATCTGAACTCTGAACACTGTAAAGCACTATGGGAGACCTTGGTTAGTAAAATTGCGCTACATTAATACATTTTACTTACAACAACTATTACTGTGTTTGTGTAAGCCCGTTTCTCCTAGTCTCTTCATGATTTCATTGGCTCGTCAGTGTGTCGTGTCTCACCAGAGCAGTGCTGGGTCCTGGGACTTCACCGTTTGCATCGATAAGAGACAGCCTCAGGTTCAGGTCCTCAGACAGGTCCTGGGTGAGCGCGGCCGGGGGATGCTGCGGCGTCAAAACAGAAGACGACGTGCCGGGCTGGGACTGTGCTATGACATCATTAGGTTCCTCCTCTGTTATCAGCTCCCATGACTAAAAGACAAAAGAAAAACAAAACAAAACAACTCTTAAATTCTTGAACTAGTATCGCTATTTAGGTCCGATCCACAAGCAGTCAAATTCAGGCCTAAACGCAAAAATACAATCCAGTGTACCGTCATTTCCGGACTATTTTTCCAGTTCTTTCCTGCGGTTTATATAGCGATGCAGCTAATATGTGTATTTTTATAGTGGTAGAGTTGTGGACTTATTATTTTGACTCGATCAAGTTTTAGTATCTATAGGACACTTGTCTATTGTCAACGTAGATGAAGGTGGATGAGCACAGACAAGGAAGATAACGGTTAGCAGAGAGAGACCAGAGAGAGAGACCAGAGAGGGAGAGCAGAGGGAGAGACCAGAGAGAGAGACCAGAGAGAGAGAGCAGAGGGAGAGACCAGAGAGAGAGACCAGAGAGAGAGACCAGAGAGAGAGACCAGAGAGAGAGACCAGAGAGAGAGACCAGAGAGGGAGAGCAGAGGGAGAGACCAGAGAGAGAGACCAGAGAGAGAGACCAGAGAGGGAGAGCAGAGAGAGAGGCCAGAGAGGGAGAGTAGAGAGAGAGACCAGAGAGAGACCAGAGAGAGAGACCAGAGAGAGACCAGAGAGAGACCAGAAAGAGTCTTGGGGGTGAAGTGGGGATGTCTTTTTTGCTGAACATTATACATTTATGATAATCAAAGATGTCATTGTTATTTGTTATGTATCCCTCAAAGTAATTTAATGTATGAATAAAGAAAATAAAAATGAAAAACTGCTTGTGTTTTGACTTTCTGTGGATGCCAAAATGAAACGTACATTATCCAGCTCTCGGGGTTCAAGGTGCTCGTTCTCCAGGTCTTCACTGATGTGGCGCCGGGATCGGAAAACCCTGTGAGCCTCTTGGTGAATCTGTTGCTGCTGAGTGTCGCTTTCCGTTTCTGAGATGACGTCACTGCAAAAGGAACAAAAAAACTTTAAGATTGATCAGGCTTTGAAGGACCGGTTCTTGCAACACCGTCCAGTCCTGCACTGACAGCACCAGACAGGTTTTTGTACTCTTGGGTACATCTGATGGCTGCCACAGACTGTTTTATTTTTAGTTATTAGTCGTTAGCCACATGGCCTTTGAACATGGCATCGGTTTTTGTAACAATGCTTCTTGTTCTGTAAATAATAAATAGATATGTATGTTTAATGAGGATATTGTCAAGGACTACAGATGGAAAGGTCTGGTCTCTCTGTAGCCTCTCTCTCTCTCTGGTTTCTCTCCCTGCTCTTTCCCCTCTCGCTCTGCTCTCGCTCTGCTCTCGCTCTTTCTCTGCGCTCTTTCTCTGCGCTCTTTCTGCTCTTTCTCTGCTCTTTCTCTGCTCTTTCTCGGCTCTTTCTCTGCGCTATTTCTGCTCTTTCTCTGCTCTTTCTCTGCTCTTTCTCTGCTCTCTCTTTCTCTGCTCTCTCTCTGCTCTCTCTCTGCTCTTTCTCTGCTCTTTCTCTGCTCTCTCTCTGCTCTCTCTCTGCTCTCTCTGCTCTTTCTCTGCTCTTTCTCTGCTCTCTGCTCTCTCTCTGCTCTCTCTCTGCTCTCTCTCTGCTCTTTCTCTGCTCTTTCTCTGCTCTTTCTCTGCTCTTTCTCTGCTCTTTCTCTGCTCTCTGCTCTCTCTCTGCTCTTTCTCTGCTCTCTCTCTGCTCTTTCTCTGCTCTCTCTCTGCTCTTTCTCTGCTCTCTCTGCTCTTTCTCTGTTCTCTCTCTGCTCTTTCTCTGCGCTCTCTCTGCTCTTTCTCTGCTCTCTCTCTGCTCTTTCTCTGCTCTCTCTCTGCTCTTTCTCTGCTCTCTCTCTGCTCTTTCTCTGCTCTTTCTCTGCACTCTCTCTGCTCTTTCTCTGCTCTCTCTCTGCGCTCTCTCTGCGCTCTCTCTGCTCTTTCTCTGCTCTCTCTCTGCTCTTTCTCTGCGCTCTCTCTGCGCTCTCTCTGCTCTTTCTCTGCTCTCTCTCTGCTCTCTCTCTGCTCTTTCTCTGCTCTTTCTCTGCGCTCTCTGCTCTTTCTCTGCACTCTCTCTGCTCTTTCTCTGCTCTTTCTCTGCACTCTCTCTGCTCTTTTTCTGCGCTCTCTCTGCTCTTTTTCTGCGCTCTCTCTGCGCTCTCTCTGCGCTCTCTCTGCGCTCTCTGCTCTTTCTCTGCGCTCTCTCTGCTCTTTCTCTGCTCTCTCTGCTCTTTCTCTGCGCTCTCTCTGCTCTTTCTCTGCGCTCTCTCCCGTCTCTCTGCTCGCTTGCTCTCTCTCTGCTCTTGCTCTCTCTCTCTGCTCTCTCTCTCTCTGCCCCTCTATCTCTCTCTACTTGCTCTCTCTGCTCGCTCGCTCTCTCTCTCTGGTCAGTGAGGATAATCTCATTAAGTCATTGCTAATTCTATGATCTATTTTTTATTCTGTCTAAATCATTGACAAAATTAAAAAGACTGTTACTTATCCCTTACATGTATGTATCTGTAGTTTGTGTATGTCCTTGTTCTGTTGTGATATCAAAGGCCTGATTGACAAATGGCCTCTGGATGATTCCGTTTATTTTTCTTTAAGATCAAACTATTGTCCAGTGCAAGTGTGTAAGGCAATTTGAGAGTTGAACCTACACATTGGAGGGCCTCTTCCACTGCGTCGATCTGTTATTGTGATTGACAAAATAGGTGCGTCCCAGGTTGTCCACTTTCTCCTCCCATCCCGGCGGTAAGGGCGGCAGCAGCTGTTGTGGTCTCTGTGAACCGGAGTCTGCAGAGTCTTCCCAGCCCTATAAAAAAAAAAAAAAAAAAAGGTTTGCCAAATATTTCAAGTCTGTTTTTCCTGACACAAATTAACAACTAGTAAAAGAAGGCGATTAAAATGGAAACTAAAGCTTGGAAAGAGTTTGATTTGGTTGTGCGAGCGAGAGTTCAATTTCAGAGAGCTATGTTGTGGTTTCTGATGTTATTGTTAATATTTGTTATTTCTGTCTGACTGGGATCAAGTTTAAACCGCATCGTGTGCAGATGGGGTTGAGAATGCAAGCGACGCTACGAAAAAGCAAGTACCATAAAGACATTTGTCAAAACATTCTCATTGTGATATAACAATGAATACTAAAATACAACCCAAAAACAGCAAAAGTGGGTTCTTTAAGCTTCATAAATAAAGCTTTGTGACGTAAATGACTTTTCCAGCCTCTGACCTGCACAGACTCTGGCAACACACTGCGTCTGAATTTTTTGAAGGAGTAAGAGGCTCATTTCTCAAACCGTCCTGGATACCGGTGAATCTAACCTTTCCCAATAGACACACATTCATGCAAAAGAAAGACATTACTGTGGACGATCGAACTGTGGTTTAATGTCTGATTAGGGGTGGGCAAAATATATCATAGACAATAATATCGTGAAAGTCAATTTGAAGATATGCTTTTTTGTATTATCGTCTTTTATTTTTCAATACATGTTACAATTAGAGAAGGAAAGATGCCCATTCGTCTGATGTGTGCCTAAAAATCACTTTACAGCACTTTACAAATAAAAAGCTGCCTCAATCTATAAATGCCCTGGCAAGAAAAACATTGCAGATAATTTTGTGTGAGAATGCTTGATTTTAAAGATATCGTGACAATACCGTTATCGGGAGTTGGGAAAAAAATATCAAGATATTTATTTTTGTCCCTATCGCCCACCCCTACATCTGATGCTAATGATAAATGTTATATTTCTTACCTCTGCTTCCTCCCGCATGTCTCCCGCCTCCTCCTCCTCGTGGCCGTCTTGTTTCGGAAGGTACGCCATCTTGAGTCGCAGGTAACCCTTCACCCTGGACTTGTGACTGAAGATAAAAACCATTAGAAAACATTTTAATCTAAACTCAAAGTGCTGAACAAGACAAGACAGAAAAAGTCACACAAGGCATTAAAATCATACATTATCACAGTTCTGGGTTTTGAGTTACTTGCAAGTAACTGTTGAAAAGGTAAGAGGTTAAAAAAGCAGGGATCCTAAACTTTTTTTTAGACCAGGAACCTAAAATAAAAATGAAATACACTTGAGAAGCCCTGATGAGGAATTAAATCATAAGCGTCAAAATATGCTTAATTTGTATGTTTTTCATTTATTGTGCTATTTGACCTCATTTTAGATTTCCAATTCTGAACTCTGGAAATCCTCTGGGCATCTGACTAGTGCCTCGACCCCCACTTTGGGAACCACTGGGTGATTGTTTACAGTGGTCCCTGGATTATCGCAGGGTTTTGTTCTAAAAATAACTCACAATAATCAAAATCTGGAAAGTAGCAGCTGAATGTTTTAAGACTGTAAAAACCCCACACACACTTTATACACTTTACTAACCACCTGGACCCACGAAGTGAGAGAGACCAGAGGGAGACCAGAGAGACCATAGAGAGAGACCAGAGAGAGACCAGAAAGAGACCAGAAAGAGACCAGAGAGAGAGATCAAAGAGAGAGATCAGAGAGAGAGACCAGAAAGAGAGATCAGAGAGAGAGATCAGAGAGAGAGACCAGAGAGAGAGACCAGAGAGAGAGATCAGAGAGAGAGACCAGAGAGAGACACACTATAGAGGGAGACCAGTGAGAGAGAGACCAGTGAGAGAGAGACCAGAGAGAGAGATACTATAGAGGGAGACCAGAGAGATACAAGAGAGAGAGAGACTAAAGGGGAGACCAGGGAGAGAGACTAGAGAGAGAGAGAGAGCAGAGGGACACTAGAGAGAGCGAGACCAGAGAGAGAGACACCAGGGAGGGAGATCAGAGAGAGAGACTAGAGAAATAGCAGAGAGAGAGAGGACTGAGGGCAATGGGAAAACCGCAGTAGTCTCCACAAATGTTTTGACTTTAAATAAAAGGTGAAAAAAATATATATAAATAAAAAAAATACAATATAAATAAGGGTAACTGTCATGTCCTGTTATACTAGCGGTTATAACATGATGTTGCTGGAGTACACACACGGCACATGGGAAGCTCGCTGTAAAAAAAAAAACTTGGCCAAAAAAGGTCACGAAAGGTGAACCGCGTTAGAGAGAGAGACTTCTGTACTTTATTGTCCTGTCGGGAAATGTGACTAACCTTCGGGGTCGCAAGAGGAAGTCTTTGAAGGTGTAGGGCCGCTCCATGGCAGGGTCCTCCGTCTGCAGAGAAACAAGATTACATTTAAAACTCATCTATAAACAGTAGTGACAAAATCATACTTTAAAATATCAAAATCATAACAAACTTCTGCCCATTACTCTTATTTATGGAGTTAAAGGTATATAGGAGGATTTTCCCAATTTTTAGGAAAGTTCCGCCTTCTCCACTTTTTGAACGAAACTCTCTGGTCTTATTGGACGAGGCCGTATCAGCAGAATGATTGACAGTTGGGAGGACCAATAGTCTTGACGATCCACCCGGAAGTAGAAAATCCTCCTATATACCTTTAAAGACCTTATGACGGGTTTGATTTATTTAGAAATACAGTTTTAATACCATTTTATATTAGAAGAGAACTACTAAAGGTTTCAAAATCAGTTGTTGTTTTTTTTGTCTGATCCCCCCAAATCGAAATAACCCCATAGCAACGCCCTTAGAAACGAAAAAACTTCACAGCCCTTGGTGACGTCAGAGTGGGTACGTTTCAACGCTGTAAGTTGTTTACAATTTGGTATTCGTTCTTTTTTCGCGGATATTCAAGATGACAAGGCCGTGTACAGCGAGTCTAAGATAACTACTAGAATGTGCCATTTCGTTGTCACTGATATAGTCCAGTGGTTGTGTCGATGGACTGCCAATCCAGAAACTGGGGTTCAATTCCCACCTCGGACAATTTTTCACACTCAAAACGGCAATTTATGTGTAGTGAGCAATTGTCACCTGTAGAGTGCAGTATTGTGTTGGGCATCAGTGGAGAGAAGAGAGAAAAGGCAGTCCTGTGGCATAGATCCATGGTTTTCAATGCATGGGCGTAACCCACTGTGACGTCACACACAGGTTAGAGCCTAGACAACTTAAATTCATGAAAAACACGTTCTTTTTATAAAATATAGGATTTTTTTTGCCGGAATCTCTTTCAAATTGACATTGTCATGCAATTTTGATATCCACTATTTTTTTTTTAAAAACCTGTCATAAGGTCTTTAAGTTTATATGTAGACCAGAATAAATGAGGCCTTCAGGATGCCCTTCTCAGATCTGTGTTTGGGAACAATACTTTGAAATTATAATCAGTTAGAAAGTACATTATCGTGTATTTATGTGTTTTATGCCTGAATCTGTATCTGAATCCTGGAATATACTCATGACAATTTGAATACTACGCTATGCGAAAATAATCAATTCTGCAATAAGCACTAGAAAAGGGTCAAATTCACTGCATGTTTTTATTTTTAGTTCAAGTTAAAATATGTAGTAATTTATCGTACTATCTCTTAAGTCTTGTCGTGTGTTGTGCTTGTGCCGTGCGTGTGTGTGTTGAGTGTGTGGTGTGTGTGTTGTGCGTGTGTATTGGGTTGAATGAGTGAGAGGGATTGAAGCCAAATAAGCATCTACTTCGTCCAGCCCTTTTTTAATCAAACAATTTATTTTTGTTTATGGTCATATAAGAGAACCTTTATTCGTAGCTTGTTAGTATTTTCTACCCATACTTGTATCACAATGGGGACATTTACAAAACATTTTAAATTCTTACATTCTTACTACTACTACCACCACCATTACTACTACAACTGCACTTCTCCCAAACCTTGCACTTTCCCACACTCAGCTGGAAACAGGTCCTACACGTCTTGTTGTTCATAAAAAAGAACCACGAGAAGCACAAAGATAAGAAACAGCGAGTGTTGACACAAATAACTCACCGGCAGATGACTGAGAGGAACATCGACTTGACCCAGAAAATCATCTCTCGTCTAGATGGGAGAAAACACACGTTACTTTTCTATCACTTTGTGGGGTTAGCATCACATGATCAACACTTGAAAATTTATTTACACATTTTCAAACACAGCAGAAAGGTTTCCCACATTTTCAGCCTTAGCCACAGAGTAAAGAAAACTGCCCACAATGGTCAAAGGTCAGGCCTTAACAGAAAGAGTCTTGAAACATAGACCGTATATTAGGACTGATGAATGCTGACGTCATTGTTGTGTTAGCGGATTTGAACTTAAGCTAGCTGGAGCCAATTTTCTTTTTGTTTACTCATCTAATCATTTTTTCTGTGATTAATTGTTTGCATAGCTTGTGCATGAATAAATAAACAAACAAATGACAAAAAATTATGAATCTCCTTATATGGGCATTTGTTCTGACAGGGTTAGCATTGCGCCGTTTCGTGTTGCTAAGACGGTTGCTAAGGTAAGCTATAGCATTAAACTGTATGTATTGTATTTTTTCTTTTACCTATGGACTATATTATATTGTGTCCTAAATAGAGATAAAAAAAATAGTAACAATAATAATAATATACCCCCACAAATGAAGGCATATGATTGGTCGATGCTTATGGCTTATTTACAGAGATTTGAAAACGCCAAAATCATATAGAGAACTGAATAAAATGGCGGGTGACATAAACCGTTACTAAGCAAGAAGAATTTACCTTTCAATGTGAGTTAATTGGAGACGGGGCAAATTTGAGAAAAACTTCAACGTCCATGAGCACTTCCTTATTGAGCTTTACTGGAGCAAGCGGGTTAGCATTGTCCATCTATGTACAGTCTATGGTTTGACCTAAATTTAAAATAATCGTTTTTTTTTTTTACATTACTATTGCTTAAGCTGTTTTCTGAAGATCTCTGAAGGCTTACATGTATATTTGAGGCTTCGCCGACCTTTGATGGCATTAGGAGGAGATTATAAATAAATAATACAAATCCACCCATCACTCACTGCCACAGAGAGAAGCCACATCAGCCAAGCAAAAGGGGTGAAAAGTCAACACGGGAAAAGATTTGAGGAACAACGTCTGTATCCGTGACGACAGTAGAGAACGTATCAAAAGTGTCCGTCTGTGTGCTGGAATCAACGGGAAAGTGGCAAAAGAGGAAAGAATGGGATTGCACTGGAGAAAAGCCCTTACTACCAGGATCATTTACCTGTCCGAGATGGAAAATCCCATTCTTGGATACAGCCTGTTAGAAAACAACTCAGATCAGTACTAAAAGGTAGTGACGGTGAGCAGCATCCTTCATAGAGGCCTGTGTGTGCAGATTTACTACACATAAAACACAATCCTAGAACAATTGGAATCTAATAAATGCAAAAATGTGGGGTGTAACAAAAGCAATATTTTAGTTATACCCTTAGATATGCCCTACCAAAATAAGAAAAGCAAATTTAAAATGGAAGTCTCTCGCTCTCTCTGGTGCCTCTCGCTCTCTCTTCTCTGGTCTCTGCTCTCTCTCCGTCTCTGCTCTCTCTCTCTCTCTCTGCTCTCTCTGCTCTCTCTCTCTCTCTCTCTCTCTGCTCTCTCTCTGCTCTCTCTGTCTCTGCTCTCTCTCTGTTCTCTGCTCTCTCTCTGTCTCTGCTCTCTCTCTGCTCTCTGATCTCTCTGTCTCTGCTTTCTCTCCGTCTCTGCTCTCTGATCTCTCCGTCTCTGCTCTCTGATCTCTCTGTCTCTGCTTTCTCTCCGTCTCTGCTCTCTCTCTCTCTCTCTCTCTCTCTCTCTTGCTCTCTCTGCTCTCTCTCTGATCTCTCTCTCTCTGATCTCTCTGTCTCTGCTCTCTGATCTCTCTGTCTCTGCTTTCTCTCCGTCTCTGCTCTCTGATCTCTCTGTCTCTGCTTTCTCTCCGTCTCTGCTCTCTCTCTCTCTCTCTGCTCTCTCTCTTGCTCTCTCTGCTCTCTCTCTGATCTCTCTCTCTCTGATCTCTCTGTCTCTGCTCTCTCTGATCTCTCTGTCTCTGCTTTCTCTCCGTCTCTGCTCTCTGATCTCTCTGTCTCTGCTTTCTCTCCGTCTCTGCTCTCTGATCTCTCTGTCTCTGCTTTCTCTCCGTCTCTGCTCTCTCTCTCTCTCTCTCTCTCTCTCTCTCTGCTCTCTCTCTGATCTCTCTCTCTCTGATCTCTGTCTCTGCTCTCTCTGCTCTCTGCTCTCTCTGCTCTCTCTGCCTCTGCCTCTGCTCTCCCTCTCTGCTCCCTCTCTGCTCCCTCTCTGCTCCCTCTCTGCTCCCTCTCTGCTCCCTCTCTGCTCCCTCTCTGCTCCCTCTCTGCTCCCTCTCTGCTCCCTCTCTGCTCCCTCTCTGCTCCCTCTCTGCTCTCTCTCTGCTCTCTCTCTGCTCCCTCTCTGCTCCCTCTCTGCTCCCTCTCTGCTCCCTCTCTGCTCCCTCCCTCTGCTCCCTCTCTGCTCCCTCTCTGCTCCCTCTCTGCTCTCTCTCTGCTCTCTCTCTGCTCTCTCTCTGCTCCCTCTCTGCTCCTTCTCTGCTCCCTCTCTGCTCCCTCTCTGCTCCCTCTCTGCTCCCTCTCTGCTCCCTCTCTGCTCCCTCTCTGCTCCCTCTCTGCTCCCTCTCTGCTCCCTCTCTGCTCCCTCTCTCTGCTCCCTCTCTCTGCTCCCTCTCCTCTCTCGCTCTCATTCATTCTGTACTGTTCTGTTGTGATATCAAAGTCTGATTGACAAAAGGTTTGTTGCTGGGAAAAACTAACACAACAGTTAAAAAAACTACCGCATTAGAACTCATCTTTTTACTGCAAGCCTCCGTTTTTTTTCTCTGTCAGGTCTAGACTTGACTGTTTCTCTCAGGACGGCGATCACAGCCTGCTCATATGAGGTGGCACACTTACTCGAGAAGTGCACACCCAGGTTTTTACAAGAACATCTCGAAGCTTAAAGTTGGGCAATAACAAAAAGACGGTTGAGAATTCATCCAGAGACACTAGAGCTTTGTGCCTTAAGGGTTGCAACAATATGCAATTTTGTCGGCTGGTTTTATACTTTTAGACCATAGTGTTTCTCGAATGCAGGAGAGGCTGAATTGTAAATAACCAATTTTCTTATATGGGCATGTGTAACAGTTGCTTCGTGGTTGCTAAGGCAAGCTGGAGTTTTTCCCAGTGAATGAAGGCATCTGATTGGCCTATGTAATCAGACAGGCCAATCACGAATACAATATCATATCAACAATATAAAAACACCAGGATCACAGAGAGCACTAAATCACGGATTCTTTTAACCGTGACACAACCGATTACTGAACTAAAGCAGTTTACTTTTCAATGCAAGTCAATAAGAGCCAGAGAGAGTTGGAGCAAAACTTGCCAATAAGCACTTTGCTATTAGGCCTCCTTGAGCTAGCAGCTTAGCGTCGTCAATCTACGTGCTCTGCAAAAAATAATGCTAATAAACTTAAAGAACAAAATGCAATCCATTTCAAATACTGCACTGTAGATTTGATTAGATTATTGTTCCCGGCCTGAGGTATTATTTCCAGCAACTTTTCAGCTAAAATTACTTTATTCCTGAAACCTTTATGACATGTTGAGGCTGCTTAACTATTTCGATCACGTCAGGAGGTCCTGACGTGATCCTGACGTGACTTCCTGTATCCGGTGAGCGTGTTTCTTGACTACTATCACTCTGCTCTCTGTTTGCACTAACAAACACATTACAAATCCACGTATTGTACACCAAGCTAACTGTGTAAGCACTCCGAGTCAGCTGTACTGCAGCTGAGGTTTAGGTAGCGGTTGTTTGTCTGGTCTCGGAGTCTGTTGTGCGGGCCCGGATCCGTACTAGCTTAGCCTAGCCTAGCTTAGCCTAGCCTAGCCGCTAACTCGCTACTATGGCGGCTGCTGTCTCTCCCTCAATCCTTTACTGCTCGAGTTGCCATATGGCGAGTCTAAACCCTGGATCCTTCTCTGAGGGTAGTGATAGATGTGTGAAGTGTAGTGTAGTCGTAGCTCTGGAATCCAGGGTCAGTGAGTTAGAGCTGCGTCTCCGAGCACTGGAGTCTCGAGCTAGCGCTAGCATTAGCTACAGCCAGGCCGTATCCTCAGGGACAGCGGAGCGCAGCTTTAGGGAAAGGCAGAGGAGAACTAGCGAGCCTAGCCTCCCAGCTCGTCCTCCGCAGCTGGGACAAGACCAGGATAGTGATGGCTTTGTGACTGTTCGGAGAGGGCGACGTGTTATTGGTAGTTTCCCCATTGGGCCTCCTCCTGTTAGCATTTACAATCGCTGGGACGCTCTGTCCGGCTGCGCCCCCGCGCGGCCGGGCGGGGAAGAAGGCCCCACTGAGAGAGCCGCTGAGAGAGCTGCTGAGAGAGCCGATGGAGTCGCTGATGCGCTGGTAATTGGCTCCTCTATTGTTAGAGGTGTTAAGATCCCAGGAGCCACTGTTCGGTGCTTCCCTGGGGCCAGGCTTGGTGATATTGAAGGGAATCTGAGGCTCATGATGACCCACAAGCAGCGTTTCCGTCGAATTGTTATTCACGCGGGTGGTAATGACGTTCGGCGGAAACAGTCCGAGGTGTTGAAGCTGCAAGTCGCCGCCGTGTGCAAGCTGGCTAGCACAATGGCCGACACTGTCATCTTCTCTGGGCCCCTACCTAGCACTAGCAGTGCAGAAGCATTCAGCAGACACTCGGCTTTCAACCGCTGGCTGTCTGGCTGGTGCCCTCGAAGTGGTGTTGTTCATGTTGACAATTGGAGTGCCTTTTGGGGAAAGCCCGGTCTCATCCGCTCGGATGATCTCCACCCAACGTTGGCGGGTACATCCCTTTTGGCTACGAATTTGGCCCTGGCTCTAAACTGTTCTGCTCGGCTCAAATGACGGTGCAGAACTGAGGCCCGGGTGCAGAGCTGCTCTGCCACAACCTCTGAGCCCCCATCTGTTCAGTTACTAGCCTCAGAAGCTAGTCAGATTGAAACTGTGTGTGCATGTGTGTGTGTGCCTGTGCGTGCTCAGTTACTAGCCTCAGAACCTAGTCAGATTGAAACTGTGTGTGTTCCCCGCTTGAAGTCTAAAGCACTATATGCGAGGAAATCTGACCTAGGTGTCAGACACAGTAACTTAATAAAAGTTCAGACAGACAGAAATAGTTCTAGCGGTAGGGTTGTTAAATGTGGTTTAATGAACGTCAGATCAATCTCGTCTAAATCGCTTCTCATAAACGAACTTATTATAGACAAGGGCTTGGATCTGTTTGCGCTCTCGGAGACTTGGCTCCAACAGGACGACTACGTTAGATTGAATGAGTGCACTCCTCCGACGCATGTTAACTACCAGAAAGCCAGAGCTACAGGTCGCGGCGGTGGTGTTGCGATTATATCACACACCAACTTGGTTCTTAGTCCCAAAACCAACAACGCTTTTCACTCGTTTGAAAACTTAACACTTTCAATCACCTGTCCTGGGTGGAGAAAACAAAAAGCAGTACTATTTATAGTTTTATACCGACCTCCTGGTCCTTACAGCGAGTTCCTAACAGAATTCTCTGACTTCATTTCAAACCTAGTTTTGGAATGGGAAAACATAGTTATAGCTGGAGACTTCAATATACATGTGGACGACAGCACTGACAGCTTAAACAAAGCTTTCAGCGCCGTACTAGATGGTGTTGGTTTTACTCAGAATGTCGAGGAACCTACTCACATTCATAACCACACCTTGGACCTTGTCCTGACCTACGGCTGTGATGTCTCCAATGTTGACATCCAGCGTCAAAGCTCGTTGCTGTCTGACCATTTCTGATCACGTTGATCTCGCTTTGGAGGACTTTCCTGTCCCGCAAGATAAAACCATAATGAAAAGAACCTTAAATGATAAATCTATCACAAGGTTCAAAGAACTAATACAGCCTATGTTGAATACTGCTGCAGGTGAACCTGTTCACAGCTGCAGTCCCTCAGTCATTGACCAAACGGTGAGCAACACTATGGAGTCTTTAAAATCTGCATTAAATGCAGCAGCTCCTTTAAAACAGAAAACCATTAGGATTAGATCATCGTCGCCCTGGTACAGTGTTCAACTCCACACTTTAAAACAGGACGTCAGAAAATTGGAGAGGCTATATCGCCACTCCCACTCGGAGCCTGTCCACAGGGAGTGGAAAGCAGGTCTCAGAAACTACAAGAAGGCCCTTCGCGGGGCTCGAACTCAATACTATTCAACTTTAATAGAAGCGAATAAAAACAACAGTAGATTTTTGTTTGGCACCGTCGCTAAACTCACAAACTGCCATAGCGCAATCGAGCCTAAAATTCCAAGCTCACTGAGCAGTGTCGACTTTCTCCACTTCTTTAATAATAAAATTACATCCATCCGTGACAAGCTGGAGGCGGTTGCTCCTGCTGTTAGTGGTGGACAGGTTGAAGCGGCATACGTGACTTCCCACTTAGACTCTTCAGTGGGCCTTGATAAATTCATGGCTGTGAGCCAAGCAGAGGTGATCTCTGTGGTCACATCCTCAAAAGCCTCAACTTGCATGTTAGACGCAGTCCCGACATGGCTCTTCAAAGACATACTTCCTTTGATAATTGAGCCTATCGTAAATATAATAAACGCATCCATACAATGTGGCTATGTCCCACAAGCTTTTAAAAACCGCGGTAATCAAACCCCTTCTGAAGAAAACAAACCTGGACCCAGAAATACTTACAAACTACAGACCGATCTCAAACCTCACTTTTATATCTAAAATCCTGGAAAAACTTATAGCTGAGCAGCTCCGCTGCCACCTGCAGGAAAATAATATGTTTGAAGTCTTTCAATCTGGATTCAGAGCTCATCATAGCACTGAAACGGCACTAGTCAAAGTCACAAATGACTTACTACTAGCTGCCGATAATGGACAAGTGTCAGTGCTGGTCCTACTGGACCTTAGTGCTGCATTTGACACAATAGACCACAGCATTCTACTGCAGAGGCTAGAATGTGATATAGGTCTTAGAGGAACAGCCCTTGGCTGGTTTAAATCCTATTTATCAGATCGATATCACTTCGTCAATGTGAATCAGGACTCGTCGCCTTATTCTGGAGTGGAATTCGGTGTGCCGCAGGGTTCGGTACTCGGACCGATTCTTTTTACTCTCTACATGCTGCCACTGGGAAACATTATTAAAAAGCATGGAATTAATTTCCACTGCTATGCAGATGACACACAGCTTTATCTGTCGATGAAGCCTAACCAGACAGATCAGCTAGAAAAGCTCAGTGCCTGCATAAAGGACCTTAAAATGTGGATGACTCTTAACTTCCTACTTCTCAACCCGGAGAAGACAGAAGTGATCCTACTCGGTCCGAAGCGCCTGCGTGACTCCCTCACTAACCAGATGGTTACTCTCGATAATGTCAGTATAATACCCAGTAACACTGTGAGGAATCTTGGAGTCATTTTTGACCAAGAACTCTCCTTCAAGGCTTATATAAGCCAAGCAACTAAAACGGCGTACTTCCACTTACGGAACATCGCTAAAATTAGGAATTTCCTTCCTAAAAGTGACGCGGAAAAACTCATTCACGCGTTTGTCACCTCAAGGCTCGACTACTGTAACGCTTTACTGGCAGCGTGCCCTAAAGCCTCTTTGAAGAGCTTCCAGCTCGTTCAGAATACAGCAGCTAGGATCTTAACAGGTACCAAAAGGAGGGAGCACATAACTCCGGTGTTAAAATCACTCCACTGGCTCCCTGTGGAGTACAGAATAAAGTTTAAAATCCTACTCTTAACATATAAAGCCATAAATGGCTTGGCTCCCTCTTATCTCCAAGACACGTTAGTGTCGTATCAACCAGGTCGAGCGTTGCGCTCACAAAACGCCAGACGTCTGGTGGTCCCTAAGGTCTCAAAGGTCACTGTTGGTGGCAGAGCATTTAGCTACCAAGCTCCTTTACTGTGGAATCAGCTTCCCATTTATGTTAAGGAAGCAGATACGGTCTCCACATTCAAGGCCAGGCTTAAAGCACTTTACTTTAATTTATCATATAATTAGGTAATATATAATATGTAGTGTATATATTATATATATATGCTGTATTATGTTATATATTATTCAATAATGTATTGTGTTATGTTGTATATTATGTTATATATTATGCTGTATGTTATTCTTTATTCAAGGCTAGGTTTAAAACAGTCCTCTTTAGTTTAGCATATGGCTAGGAAGGTAAGACTCGGAGAAGGTTAAACTCCTCAGAGTGTCAGTCAAGCTGCATAGGGAGTCAGTTTTCTGGGAGAAGTATGGTAACTTGAGCACTATCCTCTCCTCCTTCCTACTTTATCTGTTTAGCATTTTTAGGATTCTGACTGTAGTTTGTTCATTGCTATTCACCCGTTGTCCCATTGTCTGTTTCATGGTACGATGACGGGATCTCTGAGCCTGGCCTCTTCCATCTACACCTGCGGACTGCCCCGCCCGACCCGCCTGGGAGTGCTTCGTCCTGCACCGGACCTGTCCACGTTCAGCGCCACTGGTCCACGTTCTGTAGCTAGCTTAGGTCCTAGATCATTAGCCTGTCCGTCCGGAGGAGCGGATCCCTTTTCTCATATGGGTCTCCCTCCCTGTGGGTTTCCCTAGTTCTCCTCCAAGGTTTCTCACGTTTTCCCACTGGGTTTTTTAAGAGTTTTTCCTTGTCGATGCAGGAGGGTCTTGTTGGACAGTTAGTGTCCAACAGAAAGGATTGGTGATGATCAGGACACTTTAGCATTCTACAACATGTATGGACATTTTCTTCTGTGTGTGCTTTATATTCTTCATGTGTTTTAACTGTTGATTCTCTGACCTGTGTTGGTGATTTCAATGGTTTTGTAAAGTCCTCTGAGATGACTTCTGTTGTGACCTAGGGCTATACAAGAATAAATTGTATTGTATTGTATTGTAACTATTTTCTTTCTTTACTAAGCCTGAGTCAAAGCCCACTGCCTCCCATTACTAAAAACCTCACTAACCACACTTGAAAGAGGCTAAAGATAGTAACACAAACAAACACAGCAATGGGGAAGAGCAGTTGTAGTTTTTTAACATTAGTCTTGTATTGAGATCTAGTTTTTCATGTCCAATTCTTTTTATGCTGCTTTAATTTATTTTATTTTAGTATGGTTTTAGTTGTACATTTATCTTGTGCTGCGTGCTCCTCATTCCTACTGTTCTGTAACTGGTGATGCAACACTGAAATCTCCCCCCTGTGGGATAAATAAAGCATATCTCAATCTTAATACTGATCAATACTTTGGTTTCAATATTCAGCATTTTAGCATTATCTCTAGATCACAACAATCTTATAAGCAACTGGGTTCTATTGGGTTTTTAACTGTTGTATATCCTGCAGTATCTACAGAACAACGTTGTTTAATTGTGTCTTTGGTCTCTTCAGATTGAATTGTTCTCAGCTGAATACGCACAAGATATATGTAAAAAAATCACAACGTTTTAAGAAGTTACACATTTTTTTGTGATAAGAATTCTAAATGATAAAAAATGTAGAATGTAGAAAGTGCATCCCATGTCTCTCTCTGCTGAGTACAGAGAAGAATCGGGTTTAATAGTTAAACTCTTTACTGGCTGATATTTCTCAATTATATAGATCCATAATCAGGTAAATGGCTTAACTGATCCCACAACAATTTGAATGTTGGCCTGGATTCCAAGATTGTATAGATGTATGCAATATTAGTCGTCCATTTCAGTCAGCTCTCCTCAAAAGAACAAACATATATCATTAAAATCAAGTGATTAACTCATTGACTGCCAGCCGTTTTTGATGATTTCACTGATTCTCAAGACCCACAGAATTGTATTACCTGAGACTATGTGAAATATGAAACCAGATTCTGAAAGACTGGATTGTCTACTTTCATCAGCAAAAAAAAGTTTGTTTCTAGCTCTTTTTGTTGTCCTGTAATCCTCAGTCAAATAGAGGGTCTCAGACAAATACTGTACGTCAATGGCAGTCGATGAGTTAAAAACCAGCAGACCTCCGCAGTTCAAAAAGCAAAGAGCATTTCACAACACACAACATTACCTTGTGGTTATTCTGCGAGGAACCATTGTCGACATTTTGATCACCTCCAGAATTGAAATAAATCTTGAAACGAGGATTGCTTCTCTGCGAGTCTGCACTTAAGTTCAACACATAACCATTGGCCTTGTTCATTTGCTGAGTCTCTGTGTCTGGATTTATTTCCTCTGTGTTTACGCCACAAGTTTCCTGGCGTTGATACAGCTTGGGATAAGACGCGCTTCTTTCTAGACTTATTTTGGGGTAGCGCACGATACGGTTTCCTTTAGAACTGGTCGAACCGTTTTGCTGCTGCCGTTCTTGGCCGTTACCTTGACTCTTAAGGTTTTGTTTTTGCTGAAGCTGAAAAACGACCCTCTGCGTTTCCCCATTAGCAGCAGAATTATAATCCTGGTTTTGCTGTTGAACGCACCAGCCTCCTTCTCCGTAAGGAAGGATCCGTACGTGATGGATATCGTTTCCATCGGGGGATTTCCTTTGGATACTGATGCCGCCGACACTGATACTCGGCTGGGTGCTGCTGTAGACGGTGTAGCCATTGGGGCCGATGGTAAAGACTCTTCGTTTGGGCATGTTTGGCTCATTAAAACAACAGGATGAGCTAGATTCTGGGTTAGAATATGGCGGAGGCGGGTGTAGAGGAACATCCTGGATTCGAGGTCCAGGATAAGCAGGCGCAGGACCTGGAGGGCTGTACGAAGGTGGTGGGACATCGTCGTTCCGGACAGTGGTCTCTCCATTGTTTAATCCATTGGAGCGCTGTAGGGAGATGAGCATGGTGGAGCTCTTAGTCTGCCGGGGTTCTGTGGAGGTGGAGAGTTGGGGGATAAACATAGAGGAACTGCGCTTAAGTGACGGCTCGGAGCAAAGCTGTACAGTCCTGGATGAAAAGTTTTTGGAAGGCGACTCCTGGGCATTGGCAGATGCAGAAGAATCGCAGTCTCTCGCTGGTTCCATTGAGGTCTCCTCCAGTATGTCCGGGGCTGTGTTGCTGCGTCCAGAGCCAAAGTACAAACGCAGACGCTGTGCCATTTTTCCCCAACAGATCTGACACCTCTGCTGTAGAGTATAGAGTTGGGGTTTGTGCTTCCCGATTCTCTCGCCGAGTCTTCCTCCGCTGCCCCTGTCAATTCTACACCCCTCCCACAAACCTTTTCCAGTGAACTGCTGGGTTCTGACGTAGCACTAGAACCAAACGGAGCCACTGACAGAGAGAGCAGACAACTTTTTTCACTACACATTGAAAGGAGTGGCAGAGTGGAGTGATAATAAGTGAAAGGGGTAAGGGGGGAAAAGGGACTCTTAACACTACTAAAGCACTAGAGACGGGACAGCAGAAATAGCCCGAGCCGAGTAAGGGCCAGCATTCCTGACATGATTGGATAAGAGCAGTAGGCGCTGCTCGTTTCTGAGGTGACAGTGCGGCTGGGGTCATGTGACCACAAATGGACACGGCACCTCGAGTTACAAAGCCGTACTGCTTTCAAGTGCCAACTGGAACTATCCTTTCTTCTGCCCCATTTACATAGATACGTAGATAGATCATTTATCAATCCCTGTAGGAGAAATACAGGGGTCCAGAAGCAGAAACACATCCATGCAAACATATAAGTAAGTTAAGATAAGATAAGATGGACTTTATCAATCTCACACTGGAAAAAATTACATGTCACATTTGGCATAGATAGAATCACTCAGATTGTGCAGAAGACAGAAGTGTGCAAACATGTTAAACGTTAAATAGTCTGTGCAGGATATGATTAAGCACATCAATTCTAAACATTTTTAATTAACAAACAAACAATGGTGGATCTCAGACAGATCTGATGTACTGTCTTAAAGCTGAAGAATAATTATAAGCATACACTTTCCAACCACAAACTTCCAAAAGCAATCTTTAAAAATTGCTCAAATAATAAAAAAATAGGTCTATGTTTCACTCCCGAAAGTGAAGGCGTCTCTCGCACAGACAATTTTATTTAAGTAAAAAGCAGCCATCCAAGCACTTCTGTTGGTTTTATAGGGTACTTGTTTTGCAGCATGACACAACCCACCTGGGTGCTGTTCAGACTGGTACCAAAAATGCGTCTCTTCAGTGAGTAACTATTCAACAATGAATGTATGAACTGTGCACATGTTTTAGTTTAGTTCATCATTTTATTCTGCCGTGAGTCAACAAGAAAGGAGATCCATTTCATATTTATAGTTTGACTGTTTTGACATTGAAGATTAAGAGATTAAGAGATGCTTTATACGTCCCACTGTGGGGAAATGTCAGTGTTGCATCAGCAGTTACAGAACAGCTGGAATTAGGAGCACACAACACAAGATAAATAAACAATAACTCTATACCAAAATAAAATATATAGTTTTAGCAAAATAAAGAAGCTAGCATAAAATCTCTAGCTTTAGCATAATAAAGAAGCTAGCATAAAATCTCTAGCTTGAGCATAATAAAGAAGCTAGTATAAGATCTCTATCTTTAGCATGATAAAGAAGCAAGAATTAAGACTTAAGACCCAAACATCAAACTCAAATGAACTCAACTCAATCTGGAGATTAAAACAAATACGATTCCACTTGTATCTATTACTTCTGACCCAACCAGCCTCCTTTGTTTTTGTTTGTTGTGACAAAAGCAATCTCAACATTCTCATTGTCTTAGATACTCTACTATACTCTACTCTTCTCCTGTGTTGCTAACCACACGACCAGAAGCCTGAGTTCCTGCAAGCATAGCCCAGTGCTTTGACTATTAACGGCAAACCAAACAAAGAGAAAAACATGGCTGTTGTGTTAAAAACGCGTGATAAGAAAACGCACTTGGAGAGAACAGAACGAGCAGATGATGGAAACTGAAACTTGGCGTTAACGGCATGACACAGAGATGACTCACTGAACACACTCACCGTCTTCATGTAAAAACATAGGTGTGAGTAACTTACTACCGCAGATTGAAAAACACAAAACGCTGAGATACTGAGAAGAGAATGCACGGTTTGTTTGCTGAGCCTGAGATGAGATAGTGGCTCACCTCTTCTGATGAGCCACTAGTCCCTTTACCTGCTATTGTTATTACTACATTACTACCTTATTTCACAAACAAGGTGCTGCCTGTTCTGGAGGTTCTTTATAAATCCAGACCAAAATTTTAAACCAAGCTTTTAGAATAATCAATGAAGCTTCTACACACACTGGAAAAGCCATGTTCCAGCTTCTTCCTTCTGGTAAAAGATATTGTTCGTTGAGATGCAGGACATCTCGTTTTGCAAGCATTTTTGTTATATGTTTTCCTGCAACTAATAAATGGATTGGCACATCCAACTGGACACTTCAGTTGCAAAGTTCATAGCTTGTTTTTTTGTTTGTTTTCCATCTCAAGTAAAACATACAGGCGTCATTGTCTCTATTGTGTGTCTCTCTGGCCTCTCTCTGGTCTCTCTCTCTCTGGTCTCTCTCTCTCTGGTCTCTCTCTCTCTGGTCTCTCTCTCTCTGGTCTCTCTCTCTCTGGTCTCTCTCTCTGGTCTCTCTCTCTCTGGTCTCTCTCTCTCTGGTCTCTCTCTCTCTCTGGTCTCTCTGGTCTCTCTCTCTCTGGTCTCTCTGGTCTCTCTCTCTCTCTGGTCTCTCTGGTCTCTCTCTCTCTCTCTCTCTCTGGTCTCTCTCTCTCTGGTCTCTCTCTCTCTGGTCTCTCTCTCTCTCTGGTCTCCCTCTCTCTGGTCTCTCTCTCTCTCTGGTCTCTCTCTCTCTCTGGTCTCTCTCTCTCTCTGGTCTCTCTCTCTCTGGTCTCTCTCTCTCTGGTCTCTCTCTCTCTGGTCTCTCTCTCTCTGGTCTCTCTCTCTCTGGTCTCTCTCTCTCTGGTCTCTCTCTTGATGAAGGCTTAACACCGACAAGACACCTACCCAAAACATTTTATTTTGCAAACAAAGAGACGGGGATAATTCATTTGAAATCAGTGGCTCTAAAAAGGACACGCAGACCCTTCACAGTTACAGCGTTGAAGGAGTCGTCTTGGCACAGACCAGGAACAATATGCACCTCCTTAGACATATAAGGAGAGGAGCACTGGTGAGACTGGTTCATTTTACTCGTCTGTGCCAAACGTCTTTTGCAACATACACACAAGAGTGATTTATGGCCCATAGAGTCCTGGTAAAGTACCCAATATAGGTCTGTACATGTCCTGATCCAGCATAAAAACAAAAAGGTGCGAGATTTGATGGTGAAAATAATACTAATAGGGGCAGGAGTAAGACTGAGGGCTAGAGAGAAACCGGTGAGAGAGACCAGTGAGAGAGATCAGAGAGAGAGACCAGAGAGAGTCCAGAGAAAGAGACCAGAGAGAGAGACCAGAGAAAGAGAGACTAGAGGGAGACTAGAGAGAGAGACCAGATAAAGAGAGACCAGAGAGAGACCAGAGCGAGAGAGAGACCAGAGAGAGAGGCCAGAGACTAGAGCGAAACACCAGAGAGAGAGACCAGAGAGAGAGACCAGAGGCCAGAGAGAGAGAGACCAGAGCGAGAGACCAGAGAGACCAGAGAGAGAGACTAGAGAGAGTCCAGAGAAAGAGACCAGAGAGAGAGACCAGAGAAAGAGAGACTAGAGGGAGACTAGAGAGAGAGACCAGATAAAGAGAGGCCAGAGAGACCAGCGAGAGAAACCAGAGGGAGAGAGAGAGACCAGAGAGAGAGAGGCCAGAGAGACCAGCGAGAGAAACCAGAGGGAGAGAGACCAGAGAGAGAGAGGCCAGAGAGAGACCAGATAGACAGAGGCCAGAGAGAGACCAGAGAGACCAGAGAGAGACCAGAGAGAGACCAGAGAGACCAGAGCAAGAGGCCAGAGACTAGAGCGAAACACCAGAGAGAGAGAGACCAGAGCGAGAGACCAGAGAGACCAGAGAGAGAAACTAGAGCGAGAGACCAGAGAGAGAGATCAGAGAGCGAGAGAACAGAGAGAGAATAATAAATTGTCTAATAATAATAGACAAGGAACGAAAATGTTCATTATTAACATCCTACTTTGTGTACATTTTTGAATTAAGTCGAATAAAAATACGAATACAAACTTACCAGTCTGTTTTCATCAAAAACTTCAAAGAGGAGTCTGTGATTCTGCGGGCAAACCTGAAGAAAACATGAGAATATATAGAATAAATATAGTTCATCAAACAAACAAAAGTATTATTTCCTTCATAAACAGCTCACATTAACACATACACACACCCTCCCCTACGCAGATCTGGAACTGGTCCTATCAATAGATTTACTTGGATATATGCCATTAGTAAGGTATAAACAAGACGAGAGAGAGAGTCCAGAGAGAGAGACCTGAGACAACAGAGAAAGAGATCAGAGAGAGACCAAAGAGAGACCAGAGAGAGACCAGGAGGCGAGACCAGAAAGAGACACCAAAGAGGCACCAGAGAGCAGAGAGAGGCCAGAGAGAGACCAGAAAGAGAGGCCACAGAGAGAGAGAAAGAGATCAGAGATATTGACAGAGAGAGACCAGAAGGAGAGACCAGAGAGAGACCAGAAGGCGAGACCAGAAAGAGAGACCAAAGAGAAACCAGAGAGAGAGAGAGCAGAGTCCAGAGAGAGAGACCAGAAAGAGAGGCCACAGAGGCAGAGAAAGAGATTAGAGATATTGACAGAGAGAGAGACCAGAAGGAGAGACCAGAAAGAGAGACCAGAGAGACACCAGAAGGCGAGACCAGAAAGAGAGACCAAAGAGAAACCAGAGAGAGAGAGAGTAGAGCCCAGAGAGAGAGAGACCAGAAAGAGAGGCCACAGAGGCAGAGAAAGAGATTAGAGATATTGAGAGAGAGAGACCAGAGGGAACGACCAAAGAGAGCGACCAGAGGAAGAGAACAGAAAGAGAGACCAGACAGAGGGACCGGCTTTTAAAAAAGTTAACTGTCATGAAATACTAGCAGTTATATAAGGTTGTGATGTGATGATACTGTAAAAATGTGTTTTAAATATCAAAATATCTCACATTCATACTAAACATATTCACAGTAGCCCTTAACCCTCCTTATATAGAGGGTTTTATAGACTGTGGAGCACTTACCCGAAAGTAAAATTCCTCATTCCATTTTGGATTTAGTGTCTGCAAAAACAGCAAAAACAGTCGGTCAAACTCCAGGAGGACACAGCATGGGACACTTCAGAGTTTCAAGACATATTATTATAAAACCATGAAGTGCTAAATGTCGGGTACAGCACCTGGTTTTCATCAATGATCGCTGAATGGCTATTTTTAGTGGGTTCCTTTAGCTGTTCTATGAGGACTCATTTGTAATGTAAGAAGAGCTGGTCCAGGGCCGAGAGTGTAAAAGTGCTCGTCTTAGTGGAATTTTGTGGAAATCTCTTCTTGCCAATGTAGTTATTTTCTTTCTTTTCTTCTGTCTTTAATCTTTGAATGCAAAACTGACTTTTACCCACTGTGGGACAAATACAGGATATTTTGATCGTAATTCAGGAAGATGAGAAGACCAAAGAGAGACCAAAGAGAGACCAGAGAGAGACCAGAGAGAGACCGCAGAGAGAGAGATTGGAAAGAGGCCAGAAAGAGACCGGAAAGAGACCGGAAAGAGACCGGAGAGAGAGACCGGAGAGAGACCAAAGAGAGACCAAAGAGAGAGACCAGAGAGAGACCAGTGAGAGAGACACGAGAGAGAGACCAGAGAGAGAGAGACTAGAAAGAGACCAGAGAGAGACCAGAAAGAGACCAGAGAGAGACCAGAAAGAGACCAGAGAGAGACCAGAGAGAGAGACCAGAGAGAAAACAGAGAGAGAGAACAGATAAGACAAACAAAAGAGACAGACCAGAGAGCGAGAGACCACAAAGATATCTGAGAGAGAGATCAGAGAAAGAGATCAGAGCGAGAAGACCAGAGAACAGAGAGAGAGAGAGACCAGTGAGAGAGACAAGGGAGAGAGAGAGACCAGAGAGAGAAACCAGAGAAAGAGACCTGAGAAAGAGGCCAGAGAAAGACCAGGTCCAAGAAACGGTCCATATAAAACATACAAAAACAGACAACAGAAGCACAGACAAACAACATACAATATTCATCCATAATTTAGCGAGTCCTCAGTCCTTTCCATGAACTTGTAAGTATGGTTTCTGGTCACAGCCTTCATAGTGTTATGAACAAACAGGAGCTGGCACTGGTCCAGCGAGGGACTTTGAGTGGGATTTTGAGTGCATCATCAACCAGCAGCTTAAAATAGTATCAGATATTCTGGAGGTGTTTTGGTTTTATTTAACGGCTCTGATGTTCTTTTCTTGTATTTTCTCTTTCTGAAAACTGGACTAAAGGGAACAGAAGATTTTGATTGTAGAGTGATGGGCTAATTGTTGATAAAAATACAGGTAAGGGCTGTTTTTGTGGAAGAAAAATATGGGAAAGTTGATAACAGTATTTCATGTTGTTTCATGTCTTTGCTTTTTGTGAAAGTGTGGGCAAAATGTTCAGCCTCACAATGTGAAAATACTGAACATTGCCACATTATACTGATCAGAAATTCAAGATTTGAGTACAAACAGGGAGAAACTTTTCCACACAGAATAACATGGGTCTGTATCTAAAAAAATATGAAGGCAGTACAATCATGAGGAGAAATGCACATTGAGTTAAACATAAAAAAATACAATTCTCTCAGAGTGGGGAGCTCAATATAAAAAATTGGCCTTTAATATTTTTGGAGATTGAATGGTCCACAAAAAATATCTAAAATCTACATGTGTTGCGTTTTCTGCCTCACAAAGCACTGCATTGTCACCTATTTTTATCCTGTAAGCCTCGCATTATCATCTGCAGCGTCTATCTGGAGTATTTTTGTACGTAGACCTGTCACGATAACGACTACGGGAGAAGTTCAAAGTATGATTTGGTTGTACAAAGATTTCTCAAACTTTGGAAATCTCAGAGATCCATCATTCAGGACCTGACAGAGTATGGCACAGCAGACAACCTACCAAGACACGGCCGTCTGCCCAAACTAACAGCTCAAACACGGGCAGCACTGATCAGAGATTCAGACGTAAAATGTATTTGAATTAAGGCCGGGACTTTAACGCGCCAATTAAGAATAATAAATTAGAAGAATCTAACGCGTTATTTTTGTGTAAAACATTTCAACGCATTTCACACCTCTGAACATTTGTCTTTGGGATGAGTTTCTGCGGCCCGTTATACTGCAGCACCATTATGCTCTGGTTGAAAAACAAAACACAGTAAACAAGAAGGAATAAGCTGAGCGCAGTGGTTAGCCCCCGTCGATGGGAATGTTGTTGTAAAAACAGATGGAAGCGTTGATAAAAGCAGGGTTGTGTTGGCATATCAATGCTAAACAGGAACAGCTAGCATGGACGTTAGCCCGAGTACAAAGACCATAGTGCACCAGGAGACGGCCTGGCTGGCTCAATGGACTGCACTTGACGAACACCACTTAGAATGGTGCAAGATTATGGTCTTTGTTACATTTCTAAATATGCTATTGTTACTTAATGGCAAAGGTTGCACTGCTCCGTTGAACTTGGTTGAACAAAAATAAACAAGATTATTCATTATTCAATGGTATACTAAAAATACATGTGAAAAGGTCAACCTCTGAGTGAGTCACGTAGTGCCTCAGTTTTACATTAACCATTTTAACTTACCTTTTTTATTGTTTTGGTCTGAACTAAGGCAAGTTCACGGTTTTCATCTGCGACGTAGAGGGACAGCTTTGCATACGGGTCACTGTAAAGACACAAGAAAAAGCCGTTTGTTTAGATAGAGAACAGGCTTGATTATGTTGGTCGAATTTAACAAATTGATAGTTTTATTTTAGGTTGTGCAGATTATATATAGACATACTATATAACACATGGGATTTTTGTTATGACTTTATATTTGTGTTTGAATACTGTATACAGCATCAGCAATCCTATTCAAAAGCCATATCACTTTCCCTATTCATGTGTTCATTGCCTTTATCCAAATCAAATATTTTTGATTTGGATTCTAAAACACATGCCAACAAAGACAACCAGTACGTGCCAGCAGTCCCAATTCACACACACACTGACTCACTCAAGCCAATGTGGGTGATGGACACAACAACAGTTCGGCATTCTGCAGCCACAGTCGCAGCCGCCCCACTGTGGCACCTGGTGTTCCCAGAGGTCTCCCATCACAGTACTAACCAGGCACTGCCCTGCTTAGCTTCAGGTCTGACGGCTTTCACATAAAAGACTTTCTCAGGTTGCCGGCCTTTTGTTTTGAGATTTTCTTTCCTCCGTGTCGTGCACTGGGTTGAGGTACATGTACAGGACATTTTCTCATACTCACCTGGCTCCAATAATGTCTTTTTTTGCCAGATCGATTCCTGCAATGACCTTGACCCGCAGCACTCTGGTTTCATTCTGTAAACAAAAGAAAAACGCAACCATTACTATACTTTACTTTACATTGAAGGCGTCTACAATAGAATATTTTTCAAACGTTTTTACATCTGGAAATTACCTAATTGTTGATGCTTCTTTTGACCAGGTAAACCAAATTAAAGACAAATGTATTGGTTACTAGTCATTTCAATGTATGTTATTGACCGTGTTGTTCACATTGTGGCAAATAAATGCTATATATCCGAGTCATGGTTGTGGATTTATATTTTAAAGCGTTTATCTACATTTGTGACTTCCCCATTATAGAAAAAAGTACCCTTACTTCTACTGGATCTGCACTAAAAAATGAAGTGAACAAATCTAATTGAAATTCATGTTATTATGGAACTTTAAAAAAAAATCACAAAATTAAGTCATATTTTGTCATTCTTTACAGTTGTACCACTGGTTACACAATCTGACTTCAGCTACTGACATCAAATTTAACAGACTTCTGTGTTGTTATTGTTTTGGAGTTTTGAGTGTATAGCCCCATTCACATAAACAACTTCTGTGTATTTCAAGATTCACTATTAACAGTTAAAAAACACACAAATGTCTGTGCATAAGCGCCCAGTGTGCACCAGAGACAGCAATACAAAAACACTAAATTCCCTGGCATCTTCTCATGTGGCAGTTTATGATGTCTGAAGTGAGATATTCTTGTCCCATTAATTTCACAGGACAGAACCTTGTCAAATTGCCGGCATCCTATTTTTTCACTTCCAGCACCATGACAACCAAGGAGACATCATCATGCAAGACCTCAGAACAAACAAATCTATCTGTGCGAAGACTATATTTCTGTCTCAAATGGAAAGAGAGCGACTGGTATGTATGGACTTATATAATCCGTCAAGTTTTAGTAGCGATGGGACGCGCAGACTGCTATACTGCAGAGTCCCGAGAAAACAGCTAACGCTCAAGGTAAGCGCTAACACATGGTTGTTCTTTCATAACGAGTCAATGGTGAGTTAAAACACCGCAGATTTTACAGAAGCAAGTTGTCTATTGGCTTTCTCTGTGTAATGAAGCGGGCATTTGGACACAGCTCATAATTGTTTTCTTCTATCAACAGTTCCAGAGCTGATGTCTTAGCACACCTTCCTGCTTCCCAGTATGTTTATGTGAATAGTGTGTGAGAGCCGGCACTAGGGAAATACACAGCGACAATCATTTTTATATCAAGTTAGTTGGCCGATGTGGATGTTTGTTTAATATTTATGCATTTGTTGGAAGTCATAAGACGTCTTGCTGAAATCCATGTGTTGCTCAAAAAGCGAACGATCAATTGCTAGAATTAGTTGACAACTGTTTCAATAATGGATTAGTGATTCATCAATTAGTTGTTACAGCCCTAATGTAAATAGGTCAACTATCAGAGTATCCCAGGAAGTTTATGTGAATGGGGCTTTAAAATCTTGGCAGGCGGAACCATAAAAAAAGGAATGCTCAGTGATCTAGGAATACAGACAAACACGTGCACAAAAACACACACGCACGTACACACACACACACACGTGCACACAAACCGTCTGGATTATTTACAGAATGGAACAGGTCCGCGCTCTACAAAAGCTAATGTTTGATTTCTTGAGGATGTCATTATCTCCACAATAACTTTTTGACAAACGAAGATTAGAGAAATATAAACCACACACTTGCACCATGTGTCCATCGTTAACGCCGCAGATGACGACCGGGAAAATACACCATTTGTAATCAAGTGAAACATGTTCCTGCACAGACACTATGGTGGACTGGTGTGGACTGATGTAGACTAATGTAGACTAATGTAGAATAATGTAGACTAATGTAGACTAATGTAGACTAATGTAGAATAATGTAGACTAATGTAGACTAATGTAGACTGATGTAGACTGATGTAGACTGATGTAGACTGATGTAGACTGATGTAGACTGATGTAGACTGATGTAGACTGATGTAGACTAATGTAGAATAATGCAGACTAATGTAGACTAATGTAGACTAATGTAGAATAATGTAGAATAATGCAGACTAATGTAGACTAATGTAGAATAATGTAGAATAATGTAGAATAATGCAGACTAATGTAGACTAATGTAGACTAATGTAGAATAATGTAGACTAATGTAGACTAATGTAGAATAATGTAGAATAATGTAGAATAATGTAGAATAATGCAGACTAATGCAGACTAATGTAGACTAATGTAGACTAATGTAGACTAATGTAGAATAATGTAGAATAATGTAGAATAATGTAGAATAATGCAGACTAATGTAGACTAATGTAGACTAATGTAGAATAATGTAGAATAATGCAGACTAATGCAGACTAATGTAGACTAATGTAGACTAATGTAGAATAATGCAGACTAATGTAAACTAATGTAGACTAATGTAGACTGATGTAGACTGATGTAGACTAATGTAGACTAATGTAGACTAATGCAGACTAATGTAAACTAATGTAGACTGATGTAAACTGACTGACTTAATAGATCCATGAGACTAGTGTAGACTAATGTAGACGAATGCAGACTAATGTAGACGAATGTAGACGAATGTAGACTGATGCAGACTAATGCAGACTGATGCAGACTAATGCAGACTAATGCAGACTAATGCAGACTGGTGTAGACTGGTGTAGACTGATGAAGACTAATGTAGACTGATGTAGACTGATGTAGACTGATCTAGACTGATCTAGACTGATGTAGACTGATGTAGACTAATGTGGACTAATGTAGACTAATGTAGACTAATGCAGACTAATGCAGACTAATGTAGACTAATGTAGACTAATGTAGACTAATGCAGACTAATGCAGACTAATGTAAACTAATGTAAACTAATGTAGACTGATGTAAACTGACTGACTTAATAGATCCATGAGACTAGTGTAGACTAATGTAGACTAATGTAGACGAATGCAGACGAATGTAGACGAATGCAGACGAATGTAGACGAATGTAGACGAATGTAGACTGATGCAGACTAATGCAGATTGATGCAGACTAATGCAGACTGGTGTAGACTGGTGTAGACTGATGAAGACTAATGTAGACTGATGTAGACTGATCTAGACTGATGTAGACTAGTGTAGACTGATGTAGACTGGTGTAGACGAATATAGACTAATGCTGACTAATGTGGACTAATGTAGACTAATGTAGACTAATGTAGACTAATGTAGACTAATGTAGACGAATGCAGACTAATGTAGACGAATGTAGACTGATGTAAACTGACTGACTTAATAGATCCATGAGACTAGTGTAGACTAATGTAGACTAATGTAGACGAATGTAGACGAATGCAGACTAATGTAGACTGATGCAGACTAATGCAGATTGATGCAGACTAATGCAGACTGGTGTAGACTGGTGTAGACTGATGTAGACTAATGTAGACTGATGTAGACTAGTGTAGACTGATTGGTGTAGACGAATATAGACTAATGCAGACTAATGTAGACTAATGTAGACTAATGTAGACTAATGCAGACTAATGTAGACTAATGTAGACTAATGCAGACTAATGTGGACTGATGCAGACTAAAGCAGACGAACGTAGACTAAAGCCGACTAAAGCAGACTAAAGCAGACTAAAGCAGACTAAAGCAGACTAAAGCAGACCGGGGGCAGAGCCAGGGACCAGGACAGAACCTGTGCATCTGCCTGACGGCTTGTTAGCTTCACTATCAGCTAACGTCAAAATCCTTTCATAGCTTCTTCGTGTATGTATTTATTTATGTCACATATTGTAAATAAAGCTTACCTCGTCCTCTGAAAGTCCATAAATTGGCTCGTAATTCGTAGCCATAAAGCCAGCGATCAGCAGCCCAGGAGCCAAGCTAGCTAGCGTTGAACAATAAAGTCCCACTCTGCTTCTATCGGAGGCAGCGGTGCTCAGGGTGATGGCACTGCTCGATGTTATGCACAGAACCGAGCCTGGGCTTTGACATCATCCAGATAATATTAAAACACCAGAGAATCCTGATTATGACACAACTTTGTATGTAAATAAAAAGGCTGTATTTGTTTTCAGAAACACAGAAGGCTTTTGTCAACTCCAAGCTGATCCTCCGAGTACTGTGACACTTGACTTCCTCCTAAAAATCCGACCAATGGCGTGACAGCTACACATGACAGACAGCTCTATTGTCCAATCAGAGGGAGTGTTTTGCCCCCACTGCCTGCGAAGGGAGTAACCTCACGACTCTTCTGACTGTGGACCATGGATCTATGATAATAACTGTGGACCTGCTGTCTTGTCTTTTATGGCCTCCGCAAAGACACAATTCTTAACATTACATTATATTAAACTGCCACTGCTCTTGCATCGTGATCATCATGATGTAAATAATAATACTTTTTGTGAAAATGTTTTTAATTAATTGTTAAAACCAATTATTGTCCGTTAATGTTGCCTATTTATATGCATACATCAATGGAGAACACTGAAGACGTGTTATGAATAGTTTGGCACGTCTCTAATTCAGGCCACTTTTTTATAGGCCACAGACGAGTTGTTTGTTAATCCTATTTGTGTAGATGCTCGGCTCGCCTGTAGATGTCTCTCTACATACAGTCTATGGTTGTAACTGGGTTACACGTAATTCATCCCTATAAATATAATTATAGTGTAACGCACTACTTAAAATATGTGTAATCACAGTTACTATCAACTGATCTACCACTATCAGTTACCATCATAATATTATGTTTATTAGTTGCACATAAAGCATAATACATTCATGGGGAATATCCACATTGATGCTGCATCATAAACACTGCAAACATATATTTCTTTTGCTGTTAATATCAGTCATTAGAGTTGGTTTAAAGGGGACATAACCCGATCCTCTTATGGCCATATTCACTTTACTTTTCCCACTTTTACCCTCATTCTGCTGATATATACAGTAGTTAAATCCCAGTGAACATTTGAGCGAATGACTTATTACCATAATATTCTTGCGCTTGTGTGAATTACCTATTTATATCCTCAGGTCTCTGCACTGGCTTCCCGTGGCCCAGAGGATAGACTTTAAAGCAGCTCTCCTGGTGTACAAGTCTCTCCATGGCCTTGCACCAAAGTACATCCATGATATGCTAGTCCCATATGAACCAGCCCGGACTCTGAGGAGCGCAGGGACGGGACTCTTGTTAGTGCCCAGAGTCAGGACTAGACAGGGGGAGGCTGCTTTTCAGATCTATGCAGCTAAAGTCTGGAACAGTCTTCCTGAGGATGTGAGACTGGCTGCCTCTCTGTCAATGTTCAAATCCATGTTAAAGACTTTTCTTTTTTCCTGTGCATACAACTAGAGAATTTTATCTTTTTAACACACCTTGTTATTTATTGTTGTAACTTTTTGTGTTTTTTACTATTTTATTGTTTTTAATTACTTGTGTGATTCTTATGTTTTTAAATTACTTATGTGATTTTAATGCTTTTTAATTACATATGTGTTTTTAATTGTATTTTAATGGTGATGATTTGTGCATTGTGTGGTGTGGACTGTGAGGCGCTTTGTGTTGCCCTGTGCAGGAAAAGCGCCCTATAAATAAAGATTGATTGATTGATTGATTGATATGCAAATGTAAACATACAAGTATTTCTTGCACCAGAGCATGCAGAATTTCATACTTTCCCCACAGTCGGACGAATAAAGGTTCTCTTATCTTATCTTTCTTCCTTTTTAAGATAAAGATAAAGTCTTTTTTCAATAAAGAATAGAATTGTTATATATCTAGTTTTATACTGATATTGAATTTAGTTTTGTTGAGCACTTAGAGTTTCCTTGTGTATGAACTGTGCTATACTGCGCTATACAGATAAACATGCCTTGCCTTGTGCATATTGGAGAATGTTTAAGGTTCAGCCACAGGTGAAAATGTGCCCTGCTCTTCAATCATTTTATCCTCTTAGTTTTTCAATGTGAACAAACACAAACATGGAAAGGGTCGAACATTATTCAATTACCTCAGTTATTTTTTTGCTGATGTTATTTTTTCTTGGACACTTCAGCAGATGGATGGGTCCTCTTCATTCTGAGAGCACGGAATACAGAAAATAATTTGCAATTTTTTCCCAAATAACCCGATGACCACTGAGCCCCTATAGACCACACATGTCACAAACAAACCAGCGAAACAGGTGAGGATTCAGATTCAGATTCTATTTAACTCCCATTTGTCCCCCGCTGCTCGGATAATCACAGTCTATCATGTGAGTGTGGTCCATAGCAACACTGTAAGGAATCTTGGAATCATTATTGACCAAGAACTCGCCTTCAGGGAACATTCTCAATTCTATATTGAGCATGTTCTCTGAAGGAGTGGGTGGCACGGTGGCTGAGTGGTTAGCACTCTCGCCTTTCAGCAAGAACGTCCTGGAATTCGAATCCCGGTCGGAACATGGTCTTTCTGAGTGGAGTCTATGTTCTCCCCGTTTCTGCTCCGGGTTTCCTCCAGGTGCTTCGGTTTCCTCCAGGTGCTTCGGTTTCCTCCAGGTGCTCCGGTTTCCTCATGTACACTAGATAAATTCTCCTGCTCTGGTCCTGACCAAGCCGAGCATCAACATCTGGACATGGGAACCCGGGCGCTGTTACTACGGCGACCACTGCTCCTGATGAAAGCCAGTGGCATCAGGATGGGTCCAATGCAGAGGACACATTTGGGGCAATAAAGTGCACATTTACATATGAGTTTTAATACTCATATGTAAATGTGCCCTTTAATGTTGTTTTGGGTGTGATAGGTTTTTATAATGTTTGTAAATATGTATGATTTCATGTATTTGTGAAGGTCTTTGGGTTGCCCTGCATGAATTGTGCTTTATAAATAAGCTTGAAGAATTGATGATTAGTATAAAGAAACTAAAACCACATTATTCCATCTGCGTACCATGTGCCCTGTTGGCAGCGAACGCCAAATTGTGTATGAAAAATCTTCCACATCGTCCAAGTTACAGCAGCATGGACCTTAACAAGCAATGAATTATCCCATTAATTATGATTGTCCAATTATCGGTTTCATGATGTGAAGATGGGACCCCCTGAACCCTTTATCTGCACCTGTTTTGTTTTTAGGTAGTTCCCTCATGATGCAGGAGGGTCTAAGGACAGTGAAGATCCATTACATGTAAGGACATTTATTCACATGGACTTCTTCATTACGCTAAAGTTGGAGATATGTTTCCTTATTACGCCAAAGCTACAGATTCTATGTATATTTGCTTCTTGTTATGCTAAAGTTAGAGATTTTATTCTATTCTATTTTGTATTAGTATAGAGTTATTGTCAATTTATCTTGTGCTGTGTGCTCCTCATTCCTACTGTTCTGTAACTGCTGATGCAACACTGACATTTCCACACTGGGACGACTGAAGGATCTCTTAAGTGCTTATTATGCATTATTTGTTTTTGTATTTCCCGTGTTAGAATTGTTTGATTTTCTGATCTGTTGTTGGTGACACCTTTGTAAAGTCCTCCGAGCCGACTGTTGTGATTTAAGGCTATACCAATGGTTGCCATGGAGAAACAGTTATTCATGAAACACAAAACAAGTGAACATTCTTCCACTAGTCACTTCAGTCAGTTTACATTTCACACTTTTAAAATCCGTTAAGTTTTGTTTTCTACAAACTAAACCAGACAGATACCCTATTGTTATGTTATTATCCATGCTTAAAACCCAGGTCTAAAGATCACCTCCCAGTTGTGCGCACTGCCGCCTGGTGGTGACTCTAGCTCGGTACGTGACGTCACCTGGACAGAAAATATTTTAGTTTTTAGTAAATTTACATATATACAATATTTACATCAAACTACTTAATAATAATAATAATAATAATAATAAAAACAATGATAAAATGGTCCAGATCCAAACATATAGGAATTACTGATTATAAACTTAAAGGAAACTTGTGTCATCATAAATGTAAATTAGAGACAGATGGACAATTAACAAAGACTGACCTCTTCCCAGATTCGTAAAGAGGAGGCAGTGGCTGGAACACCGGGTCATTCTGCAGTAATTTACAAAAGGGAGATTTTTGTTTCTATATGTTTGTCTGCTTTTATTCCAACTTTTGATCAGCGCCCGGCATCGGATCACAGAGTGGCCAGGGAGGGCGCAGGTTGGGCGCAGAGAGAGAGAGAGAGAGAGAGAGAGAGAGAGAGAGAGAGAGAGAGAGAGAGAGAGAGAGAGAGAGAGAGAGAGAGAGAGAGAGAGAGAGAGAGAGAGAGAGAGAGGAGCAGTGACAGGACCAGAGAGAGGGCCAGGGCATCATAATAGCACCAGATAGAGTACCATAACACCAGAGGGTATCAGAGACATAATCAGGGCACCAGGGAGAGGACCAGAGACGGGACCAGAGCCAGGACCAGAGACAGGACCAGAGACAGGACTAGAGCCAGGACCAGAGACAGGACCAGAGACAGGACTAGAGCCAGGACCAGAGACAGGACTAGAGCCAGGACCAGAGCCAGGACCAGAGCTGACGCGGTGACAGACCCATCCTCAGTCCGGACTTCTCTTCATGTGCGATGCCTTAAACACATCGCTCCTGTCCCACACCAGGTACGTCCTTTTTCCAGTTTTACCCATGGTACCTCCGTGCGCTCCGGAATGAGGACAGTCCACTTACATCAATGTTCTACTGTATCTAAGATTTTTTTTATTTATTATTTGATGTGCGGAAGTGCAAGCCTGATTCCCCATAAACCTTGTGGAAAATGTGATGTCAGATGCCTGTTTTTTGGCACAAGAAGTGATTTCCGTTTGCGTAGAAGGTGCTGTGGAAGGTTCCAACGAGGC